AAAGCTCTCTTTTCCTCTTTTTAATATCTGCCTCAATGTTAATACTCCAACCCTTGGCTTTCTTCCTAAAAAGCTTACTTTTATTCATCCAAATATCTATGGCTGTTTTACCAGGGACTGAGGTATTCCATGTATCCATCACCATTTTCTTAAAATCGGGATGGTCAAGCCACCATTTTTCAAATCGAAAAATCTTCAGGGAGGTAACCCTCCAAGCCCATGTGTCTAGGATCAATGGTGTGTGATCACTACCCACTCGGGGCAGTGGAGTAACTACTGACAAAGGAAAATGGGCATCCCAGTTCAAAGAAACAAAAACCCTATCTATGGTTGCAAAAATGGGATTATCTTGATTATTACTCCAAGTAAATTTCCTATTGGATACATTGATTTCCATAAGACCCCATTTGTTAATCCAGTCATTGAAGAGGTATGTAAACTGGTTGTTAACGACATCATTATTTTTGTCAGCAGTGGATCTAAAAAGATTAAAGTCCCCTCCCAGTAACACTGGATAATCGAGCCCATCTATGACATCATGTAATTCAGCAAAGAATTCAAGTTTGAGCTCATTGTAAGAAGTACCATAGACAGCAACAAGATGCCAAATAAAACCATCAGATTTATTTTTCAGAGTAGCAACAATGCAAAACTTCTTATTAATAAAACCAATTACTTCGAATAGATCACTTTTGAGACCCACAAGGATCCCACCAGCTGTGTTTACAGCAGGTAAATAATGCCAGTCAAATGTATTTCTACCAGAAATATTTTTGAGGACATGATCGTTAATGACCTCTCTTTTAGTCTACGAAAAACAGAGAAAGTCTACTTGGTTGTTACAGATAAAATCTCCCAGGCACTGAATTTTGCCAGGCTGACCAAGACCACGAATATTCCAAAAGGCTCCTATCATTTAAATTTAAAAGGGTGGGATTGTAAGTGCATCTAGTGCCACCCCTAGTTGGTTTTGGAGTATTGACGACAAACCTAGTTGAGGGACTAATGTGTTTGTGAGAATTGCAGGATAACACAGGTAGAAGTCCCTCATTGATTCGGTTTTCCTACCAGAGATGACCCCTAAAAATGTATGAAGACATTGATGTCAAAGGTGATATATGAAGATATTCACATTGAAGACTATGACAAGAGAAGACACCGCATGAAGCCTATGGAGCTCGAAGACTTAGATCTTTCGTAGTTCTTTTTCTTCTGTGATTGAGTCATAGGAACCACCGTACTGTTAAGTGGGGTCTAAGAGAACTAGTCAGAATGACTGAAGTGATGCTTAAACAAAACCTATGTCTTCGAGTGAAGACTATGAGAGCGAATCTTGTCCAGAGTCAGACAAGTCAGCTTTGCTTGTAGCCCAAGTAAAGTTGCCGTGTGAGGTTGAAATCTGACCGTTGGAACACGTGTCAGTTTCTTAGTGACCCAGGGTCATTTCGGACAAATCAGGTCGGGTTGCCTAGTGGCTATAAATAGCCCACCCCCTACAACCATAAATGGTTGGCTGCTCAGATTTAGAGTACGGTTTTTGTCGTTTGAGAGCAACCCACCTCGAAGCCTTTGAGAGAGAATTCCTTGCGAGGATAAAGCCCTAACCACCCAGAGCCAAAGAGAATTAGGCATCACTTAAGTCTTCTTGTCTATGTGATTTGAAGACTTATTACACTTAAGGACTGTGCATCCTCCAGCCGGTTAGGTGAGCATCCAAGATACATTGTGGATTGCCGGTGAACGAAGTCTGTGAAGGTTTGGGAGTCTACCTTGAAGACTTACCAGAGTGATTGGGCGAGCTTTGTGTGACCTTAGCTCAAGGGGAATACGATGAGGACTGGGTGTCCTGAGCTACGTGTTCAGGACTGGGTGTCCGGGACTGTGTGTCCTTTGGTTTAAATACCTAGCCGCCCTAACCAGACGTACAGTTGTCATTGTCTTCAACGAGTCACTGGTTTCATCCTTCCTTTCTCCTTACTTACTGTTACTCCTTGTGAAGTCATTGTATGTCTGCACTATCTTTTGTCTTCACTGAGTGACTGTGTGATCTGTTTGGCTTCTTAATATCTTCCTACCTGATCCTTACTACCCAGCTGCTATTAGTCATTGTGCTTTCACTTCATTGAATACATGACTATGGTTTACCTAGTGTAGTCTACCTTCCGCTGATTGGTAATAGGTTTATTTCTATCGTTTGTCTTTGAAACTTCCACGTTTTGAAGACTTTCATAAAAATCGCCTATTCACCCCCCTCTAGTCGATATAACGCACTTTCAATTGGTATCAGAGCAAGGTGCTCTCTTGTTCTGTCTGATTCGGTTTAACCACCTGGAGTTTTATCTATGTCGACTGCAGGGATAATTAAAGTCTCCGTTGCGTGCCCCGTCTTCGATGGAACTGAATATCCCTACTGGAAGAATAAGATGCGCATGCATTTTGAAGCCATTGACGTCGACCTATGGTATGTCGTCAAGAACGGCGTTCCCAAGGCTGGAGAAGGTGTCACTACTGCTGATGTCAAGAAGTTCGTTCAACTGGACTCTACTGCCAAGAATATCATCTGTAGTCATCTGACCAAAGGACAGTATGGCCGTGTGAGTGCTTTAAACATCTAAGCTGGTCTGGGACTGGCTCTCCAAGGTCAACGAAGGAGTCTCAACCCAGAGAGATCAGAGAATCAGTGTTCTTCGCAACCTCTTCAACCGCTTCAAGCGAAATGACAATAAGAATGTCCAGCTCACGTTTGACCGACTCACTGACATCACAAATGAGATTCAAGCCCTTGGCGCTACTGAGATCACCAAGCATGAAGTCGTCAAGACACTAATGAGATCACTTGACAGTTCGTTTGACACCCTAGCCCTGATGATTCAAGAACGACCTGATTTCAAGACACTCGATCCGTCCGACATACTTGAGAGCCTCAACACACATGAGTTTCAGCTTTCTGAGAAAAGAGATATCTACGGTCCAAACTATGGGCGAACTCGTGCCTTGAAGGAAAAAGCTGTCTCCTCATCTGAAGAAGAATCTGACAGCAGTTATGATGATCCTGAAGACATTCGAAAGGAACTTGCTATGCTTGTGAAGAAGTTCCAAAAATTCACCAAGAAGAAAGGCTTCAGAAAGTCTTCACGATCAAGCTCAAGGAATGATGAAGCTTCTGCTCATGACTACAAGAAGAAAACATGCCACAAGTGCAAGAAAACTGGCCACTTCATCTCTGAGTGTCCGCAGTGGGACAATGAGAACAGAAAGAAGAAGAAGAGCAAGGAATATGACTCTGACGACAAGAAGAAGAAGAAATACTCAAAGTCTTCTTCCAAGTCTTCCTCAAAATCTTCATCACACAAGAAGAGCTCATCTGGCAAGGCACGTGCGTTTGTTGGCAAGGAAATCGATTCAGAGGAGGAGTCCGCTTCTAAGGAGGCGGAGGTGGAGTCTGAGGAGGAGTCTGATTCTGGCGTTGCAAGTCTGGCTACAACATACGTTGCCAAGTCCATCTTCAACACTAAAGACAATGACTTCACCACCGACACCGATGCAAATGATAAGGACTACTCTGCTCCTACCTACTGCTTCATGGCACGCGGTGCCAAGGTAAACACACGCACTACTCACTATCAAACATCTAGTGACGATGACTCTGATTGTGGTTCAAGACCCAGCTACAAAACACTTGCTAAAATTGCAACTGAACAACAAAAAGCCATGGAACATATTCAATAACTGTTAGACAAAAGCGATGATCTGTTGGGCGCTGAAATGACTCGATCTGAGTCCTTAATTGAAGACATAAAAAAATCTTCACATTAAGTATGAGGAACTTGAAAGTCGTCATGAAACGCTCTCAACAACTCATGAAAAGCTTTCCTATGATTATCTTCAAAGGAAGCAAGATCTTGAGAAATTGAGAGCGGCTCATGAAGATCTTCAAAAGGAAAATGAGTCACTTCGTGCCGAACAGATCAGTTCCGCTCAGGAAGGATTTGAACCACCATGTCTTAAATGCATTGAGCCCTAACAAAAATCGAAAAAAGATCTAAAAACGGAGCCCTCCCACCGGCAAGGGGCGAGATCCACTCCGCCTCCATGGTCCTAAGGCCACCGAAGACGGGACGGACCGACGCCGGTGCCGGCGGGAGGCAGAGTACCCTAGCTTTTTGGAGGGGCGGCTGGCTAGGTCAAATACTTGTTTTTTCTGAGCGGGCGATGCACGAACCGCAATTTAGGCTCATTGTTACATAGGGAAAAAGTTATTTATCAATGTCAAATAGGGCATAAAATTTAAACACGATGTTAAATAAAAAATTCTCTCTTATCATTTAAGGGAAGGAAAAGTCGTAACAAAGTTTTTCGTAAGTGAACCTGCGGAAGGATTATTGTCGTGACCTTGATCAAAACAGACCACGAACGCGTTATCTAGCCGCGGCACTGTCCGTCATTGGCCAAAGTCCTCTATAACCTCCTCTCCTCGGTTCGGGGGCTGATGATATGCCTACTGGCACGTCCCTAGTAATTAAGGGTCTCCCGGTGGATGCGGTTGAGGCACTGTGAATTTCCGTTATTCCCACATTGATGATCGGCCGGAGGGAGAGACTATATCAATAACCCCAGCCTCATAGCAACGTTCCCGTAGGCAAATATTGGTGCGGTTGACTTCACATAATATCATGAGGATTGTTATCTCAAGATAGACAGTAGAAAATATTGCATTTTTATCTCAGTTCATAGTTGTACTCTTATTAAAACTTCTTAGACTTCCCACATCATAGACTGCCATATCAAACCTCTTTAATTTATGTCAACTGTTAAACAAGGACCTGAAATTCACCCACATGCAATCCTTATTCCATTGAAGATAGTTTTGGCGTTTAATGATTTAATGATAAAAGAAAGGATCTTGATGATGAAGATATACTATAATATATATTGCCATTGCTAGTCGACCAAGACGTGTCATCCTTGTTTTTGGGTACATTTCAATCCAACCAAAATACTCATGCATGCTGGTCGGTGTCGTTGGCGAGGATGACGTTGCGGTGCCTGCCGCGTTCTGATCGGCAGTTCTGGGCGAACTTGACGGTGCGGGCGTTGAGTCCCTTGCTCTTCTCCTCCTCCGACCACTCCGCGCCGTAGTACTTCTCCTCGTCAGCGCCGACGTTGGCTGGGAACAACATGGAGCCCCACTGCGGGAAGTGCACAAGCATGACCGGCAGCGTGCATGCCATTGTCACTATGCCCATGTACTGGAGCCCCTGCCCGGTGCCGTAGTTGGACGAAGTGAAGAAGAGCAGCTGGTTGAAGGCCGCGCCGAAGGTCCCGCCGGCGCCGGTCATCCCCGAGACGATGCCGAGGGAGCGGCGGGAGACGAAGGGTATGACCGCGAAGATGGCGCCCTCAGCGGCCTGGGCACAGATGGAGAAGAGGACCATGGCGGTGACGGAAGCGGGCAGGCTCGAGGCACGGCCGAGCCAGAAGCAGAAGGCGCCGCCGGCGGTCTGGAGGATCCAAATGTTCCAGAGACGGGCGCGCATTCCAAAGTAGCGCGCGCCCACGTCGGAGAAGTAGCCGCCCATGGAGCGCACGAAAATGTTGGCGAGTCCGAAGCTGGCGGCGATGGTGCCGGCGGTGCGGAGGCCTAGGTGGAAGTGGTCGTAGTAGTACTCGGCGATGACATTGTCGGTGCAGAGCTCGACGCCAGCGGAGTATCCGTAGAGGAGCACGAAGACCCAGCTACGGTAGTTGGTTATGGCACCCCAGGCCACCTTGGCGAACTTGTCCTTGGCGACTTGGCCCTTGTTCTGCAGGCTCCAGAGGTTGCCGTCGGGGAGGTCCTGCCCCAGCGTGAGCACCATGATGCCAACGACGATGTGCAGCGTGCCGGGGCCGAAGTAGGCGACGCGCCAGGCCGAGAAGGGCGTGGCGCCGCACCTGCTGCGGATGGCCTCGTAGACGAGTGGCATTACGAGCTGCGTGGCGCCGCCGCCGACGTTGCCCCAGCCGGCGGCAAGCCCGTTGACGGCGCCAATGATGTTGCCGCTGAACATGGTGCTCATCCAGTACTGGCAGGAGATGAGCGTGGCGAGCGAGAAGCCGATGAGGAAGCGCACCATGATGTAGCCCGCCGGGTCGTGGACGAGGGACATGCAGAACACGGCGGGCGCCGTGAGCATGACGAGGAAGGCGCAGCCGTAGCGGGGGCCGAGGAGGTCGCACACCACGCCCATGGCGACCCTCGAGAAGATGGAGCCGGACACGGAGGCCACGCTGGCGTTGCTGATGTCACGCTTAGTGAGGTTAAGGTTGTCGCGGATGATGGGGATGAGCGGCGCCGCGGCGAAGGTGGAGACGAAGCAGATGAAGAAGGCCATCCAGGAGAGATGGAAGGCGCGCATGTGCGGGGCGGCGAAGGAGAAGAGCCTGAAGGACTTGGCCTTGTGCTCAGAGTCCACAGGCAGCGGGAAGATCTTGGCCGGCGCCGCCATCTCCGTCTCCATTTTCTCCATCTGTTTCTTCTTTTGCTGATTGCTCTCGATCTCGAGCTCTGCTATGGTGGTGTGTGCTTTGAATCCCACTTCTGTTTGCTAGTTATAGCACCGGCATCACAGGCAAGCGTTGACATCTTGTCAAGTGCTAGCTTCATTCATGATCATCCCATGGAAACAGCTCAGCTCAGAGATGGATCATGGCTTTGATTTTAGTTTAAGACTTAAGGGAGCGTTGAATCTAAAAATAGTAGTATTAGGAAATTCCGTTTCTGTACAAGCCTCACCCCTTGGGATCAACCAAGGATCAGAATATATACCAAGTCTCTGTGAACAACAGCAAGAATCGACATACTACTCTACTTGGCAACTTGCACAAAATGATGTGATGTATGTCCCTTCGGACCTATCAGGGTTGCCGAGTTAAGTCACTATTATTAAGCTTTGATTCCTATCGATAAGTGCACTGCATGCATGATTACTTCTACCACATGATGTACTAGTAGGAGTACTTATATTTTTGTTGACGGAAACCATGTTGGCATTATTCGCTACTATATTTAGTCTGTTGATTGCACACAAGAGTTGACTATTCACGTATAGTGCTGTCAAGAAAGCTTGACATCGTGACCTGTCAACATGGCAACTTTAGGCCTCCTTTAGTTTGTAGGAATGTTATAGGATTTCTATAGGATAAGATTTGCACAGGAAAATTTTCTTTCAGGCCATTTGGTTTGTAGGAATGGATTCCTATTCCTATGTAGGATAAAAATCAATCCTTCATATTTTGGAGGAAAAAAAACATTAGCTAAGACTCAATGGAAAAACTCCTATCCTGTGCATCAAATGTCATCCTTTTCTTTATAGGAACTGAGATGCATGTCATCTCACTTCCTATGATTTTCCTATTCCTACAACATTTCTATCCTATGAACCAAAGGAGGCCTTAGCTCGGCTAGCTCGGGATCATTGGCAAAAATGACTCCACTATGAACATCTTACTGCTTCAGCTGTATCTAGCAATAAACCTTCTAAGCTCTTGGCTCCTATGATTCGATATAAATCACGCAGAGTGGGCAGGCTGGTGGCACAAGATTCATAACAGTAGATTATCTCAACAAAGATGTTTATGTTTTGTAAGAATGGCTCACAACTTGGAATTACTGCAACCATATGTATGCAAAAGAAGCACTCCCTCTGTTTTAAAATACATGTTTTTTGTTTGTCCAAATATTGATGTATGTAGACTTGAAACAAGTTTAGATATATCCACATTTGGGCAAATCTAAGACATTTTTTTTGGGACGGAGGGCGTAATTATTATTTGTCTAGCTATTGCTATTATTTGTGTAATCATTGTGTGGGCTATTGAGAATCGAATTGTTCTTGTACCCTGGTGTCCACTCGGCCGACAGAGATGATGTAGGCTACATCCCGCCTGGGGTAGTCTTCGCGCTGTCTGCCGGCTGGAGCAGCCGACTGTCTTGCTGGTTCCTTGCAGTTGTTGTCCTTCTGCGGTGGAGGAGGTGGTGGTGGTGGAGGCAAAAGGCACACATTTGACCTCAGGTCCAAACTATTTCACATACTAAACTGTTCTTAAAAGTATTTCACCCGGCTGACCTTTAATATGCAGCGCCTGACATTAAGGCGCTGCACTCTACTGTGCAACGCCTAACACTTAGGCGCCACACTGTGCAGCGCCTAGCTCTAAGAAGTTGCACTACACTGTGCAGCTCCTAGCTGTAAGGAGTTGCACAGTAGAATGCAGCGCCTTGTTGTCGGGCGCTGCACAAAAGGGTCAGCAGTGTGAAATATTTTCTAAAACAGTTTAGTTTGTGAAATACTTTCGTTTTAAGGTCAGATTTGCTAATTTTGCCTGTGGTGGATGTGGTAGTCCTTCGCTTCCCATGAGGTGCTGCACTGGAGGGTGGTGTGGTTGGCGAGCTTGCCGCCTAGGCTGTGGTACTTGCATGGGGAATCGAGCATCTGCTCGAGCGTGTACTTCGTCTTGGTACATGGACGGTCATCTCGCTTGCGGGGGTAGCAGTTTCCGCCTGCTCCGATCGGCTGGTCGTCAGCTGCACCAACCAGCCGGTTCTCGTATCTTTCTTTGGCCACTGCGTCGGGTCTCTTTCGGTTGTCCCGGTTGTCATAGTAGCCGCGGTCGTCATGGTTGTCCCGGTTCCGGTTGTCGCGGTTGTTCTGGTTGTTGCTGGGGGCGGCTTGGTCCCTCACCAGCTCCTCGGGGAGTATCTTGCCGGCTGGATCCAGCCAGATCAGCGTCTTCATGGCCGAGTCGGCCATGGCGTACTTGTCCGCGACGGTCGAGGGCTGTCAGGGTCGTTAGGTTCGACCGGTTGATCTTGTGCTTCAGCATCGTGCCGTCTCACAGCCGTCGCGGAAGAACTGGATGGCTTATACGTCCGCCACCCCTTCGCGGGAGTTGCGCAGGCTGGACCACCTTGTGAGGTAGTCGTGATCCGACTCGCCGCTGCCATGGACGCAGGCGGCTAGCTATTGTGGCCTGCCAGGGCGGTTGTAGTTGCCGGGGAAGTTCCTGACAAAAACTTCCTTGCAGTCCAGCCAGGAGTTGACGCTGATCTTGGGCGGGCTCTTCAGCCAGGTGCGCACCGATTCTTGCAACATCAGCGGTACATAGTGCACCGCAACTCGCCTGTTGCCGCCTATGATGGCGACGGCCATCACATAGTCGTTGAGCCAGTCTTCTTGGTGCCGCCATCGTACTTGAACGTGCTCCGGGGAAGGGTGAAGTCAGGTGGGAACGGCTCCTTCGCAATGCGTGGCCCGATACACAGATGTCCCTCGATGTCTTCCTCCTCCAGCTTGCGGGAGATTTCTATCGTGTCGAGGCGGGAGCGGGCGTCTTCGCCGACTCCGGGGCCCAGTGGCCCCAGACGGTCATGAACGTTGTTGCGGGAGTTCGCTCGGGAGGCGGCTATTCGTGGGGCCGGCTGATTGCTCTGGTTGCCCCCATCTTTGTTATCCGGCTGCCTCCTGCAGCCGGCTCGTTGTCGCGTCTGGCTAGCTGGTACGAGTTGATGCTACACTCTCTGAGGGCCTCCGGCTAGCACAATAAAAGAGCACATTGCTTCCTCGCTGATCATCATTATTAGAGCATTGTCTCAAATGAGGAAAAGGATGATGGAGACCATGATTCCCCCACAAGTCGGGATGAGACTTCAGACGAAAAAGAAAAAAAGGAAAAAAAGAGGCCAAAGAGCCCAAAAAAATGAATGAGAGAAAAGAGAAGGGACAATGTTACTATCTTTTTACCACACTTGTGCTTTAAAGTAGCGACATGATCTTCATGATAGAGAGTCTCCTATATTGTCACTTTCATATACTAGTGAGAATTTTTCATTATAGAACTTGGCTTGTATATTTCAATGATGGGCTTCCTCAAATTCTCCTAGGTCTTCGTGAGCAAGCAAGTTGGACGCACACCCACTTAGTTTCTTTTTGAGCTTTCATACACTTATAGCTCTAGTGCACTTGTTGCATGGCAATCCCTACTCACTTGCATCGATATCAATTGATGGGCATCTTCATAGCCCATTAATTTTCCTAGTTGATGTGAAACTATCTCCTTCTTCCTAGGGGTGGGCATAAAAAACGACCAATCGAATACCGAAACCGAAAAAACCAAATTTTCGGTTTTCGCTGCTGCTATATTCAAATTCGGTTTCTATGTTTAATAACCGAATTAAAATCGGCCGGTTCGGTAGTTAACCGATAACCGAAGAAAAAACCGAAGTGCACGCAATTCTAGTACAGGCGTCCCGCACGACCGCATATCTCGCCAAATGCCAAGCCGAACCGAACGCAATTCCAGTGCGAGGCACCCCACATCCGCACGTCTCGCCAGAATTTTCTTTCGAGGTAGCACCTCTTGCATGCAACTACTTCACGGCCGCGCGCCTGCATGCATGCAGCCACACATAGCGTGAGAAGGCCCAGCTGGTGTGATCTGGCCCACACACTTAATTGCATGGCCCAAATAGTATTTCCTTTGGCTGATAGTGTGCACCGGGTGGAGTGTTACTTGTTTAGTCCCACATCGGTAGAGTGTTACTTGTTTAGTCCCACATCGGTCAGCTACGCTCCAGGGACAAGGTGACCAGCTATATAAGAGGTTAGGAAGCTCTTGTATGATGCGCTCGCTGTAGCTTCTCAGCACCGCTGCAATCAGTCGGTTTAAACCAAAAACTGAACCAAATTGGTCGGTTAACCGAATTTTCGGTTAGTTGTTTTTGCCTGTTATTTTCGGTTTTTGGTTTTGTTAACCGAAATTAAAAATAAACCGAATGGTATAAACCGAACTTTCGGTTTCTACCGAATGCCCACCCCTACTTCTTCCTGTCTTCTCCACATCCACCATACTCTATTCCACCCATATTGCTATATTCATGGCTCACGCTCATGTATTGCGTGAAAGTTGAAAAAGTTTGAGAACATCAAAAGTATGAAACACTTGCTTGGCTTGTCATCAGGGTTGTGCATGATTTAATACTTTGTGTGATGAATATAGAGCATAGCCAGACTATATGATTTTGTAGGGATAACTTTCTTTGGCCATGTTATTTTGAGAAGACATGATTGCTTCATTTGTATGCTTGAAGAATTATTGTTTCTATGTCAATATTAAACTTTTGTTTTGAATTTTATTGATCTGAACATTCATGCCACAATAAATAAGATTACATGGATAAATATGTTAGGTAGCATTCCACATAAAAAATTCTGTTTCTATCATTTACCTACTCGAGGACGAGCAGGAATTAAGCTTGGGGATGCTTGATACGTCTCCAACATATCTGTAATTTTTTATTGTTCCATGCTATTATATTATTTGTATTGGATGTTTTATATGCATTAATATGCTATTTTATATTATTTTTGGGACTAACATATTAACCTAGAGCCCAATGTCAGTTTCTATTTTTTCCTTGTCTTTGAGTTTTACACAAAAGGAATATCAAACGGAGTCCAAACGAGCTAAAAATTTACGAAGATTTTTTATGGACCAGAAGAAGCCCATGGAGCATCGAAGTTGGGCCAGAAGAGTCCCGAGGCGACCACAAGCCTAGGGGCGCCCCCCTAGGGCGCACCCCTGGCTTGTGGGCTCCTCGGGAACCCCCCTGACTCGTGTCCAAAAATTTCTATAAATATAGAAACCTCCAAAAAGAAACCTAGATCAGAAGTTCCGCCACCGTAAGCCTCTGTAGCCATTGAAAACCAGGGAGCCTGTTTCGGCACCCTGCCGGAGGCCATCTTCATCATCCTGGCAGTCTCCATGCCGAGGAGAGAGTGGTTCACCCTCGGGGCTGAGGGTATGTATCAGTAGCTATGTGTTTGATCTCTCTCTCTCTCCCTCTCTCTCTCTTGTGTTCTTGATTTGGCATGATCTTGATGTACCACGAGCTTTGCTATTATAGTTGGATCATATGATGTTTCTCCTCCTATACCTTCTTGTGATGAATTGAGTCTTGCTCTTTGAGATTTGTTATGTTGGATTGAGTATTGGATTTGAGAACACTTGATGCATGTCTTGCGATGGGATATCTGTGGTGACAATGAGATGTCCTATTGATTCACTTGATGTATGTTTTGGCACTCAATTCGCGGATTCCCGAGGTGACATTGGGGTAATCTATGCATAAGGGTTGATGCACGTTTGCGTCCTACGTTCTCTGATAGAAACTTTGAAGTGATTCTTGGTTGCACGTTGAGGGATTGTTATATGATTCAATTATGTTATCATTGTTGAGAGAACTTGCACTAGTGCAAGTATGAATTCTAGGCCTTGTTTTCAAGCATTGCAATACCGTTTGTGCTCCGCTTTATCACTTGTTACCTTACTGTTTTTTATTTTTAGATTATAAAAACCTATATCTATTATCCATACTACACTTGTATCACCATCTCTTCGCCGAACTAGTGCACCTATACAATTTGCCATTGTATTGGGTGTGTTGGGGACACAAAAGATTTCTTGTATTTGGTTGCGGGGTTGGTTGAGAGAGACCATCTTCAACCTATGCCTCTCACGCATTGATAAACCTTAGGTCATCCACTTGAGGAAAATTTGCTATTGTCCTATAAAACTCTACGCTTGGAGGCCCAACACGAGTTTACAAGAAGAAATGTTGTGTAGTAGACATCAAGCTCTTTTCTGGCGCCGTTGCCGGGGAGGTGAGTGCTTGAAGGTATATATATCTTTAGATCTTGCAATTGAATCTGTTAGTTCCTTGTTTTATCACTAGTTTGGTTAAAAAAGAAAACTATAGAAAAAGGGAATTGAGGTTGCCACATTTAATTCATCTTTATAATGTCTTGCTTGAAAACGATGGATCAGAAAATTGTGCCAAAGTGTTAGAAGAAGAAGTCAATAAAATATTTAGCACTAAATCTTTGAATGATGAGCATGATTGCGATGTTGTTAGTATGAATTCTTTGAATATCCATGTTGCTAATGATATGCAAAGCCATAAGTTTGGGGATGCTATGTTTGATGAAGATGATATTTTTAGTCCCCCAAATTTTGATGAGAAAATTTATTATAATGAAAGCATGCCTCCTATTTATGATGATTATATTGATAAAAGTGGGTTTAGAAGAGTGTCAACTTTAGGAAGTAATGATCCCACTATTTTGGAGGGTGTTGAATCTTTTCACAATTTTGATAAAAGTGGATTTGGAGAGGTCATGACTTTATTTAGTGATGAATCCACTATTTCGGAAGAGGTTTCAATTGATTATGAGAATAAAGTTGCTATGATCATTATTGTGATGACATGTGTGCTATAAAAATAATGATTACCATTAAACTTGTCGTCTTGATTTTAATTTTTAATTGGATTATGTCTCACATGATAGTTATTTTGTTGAGTTTACTTCCACTATTATGAATGAGAATAAATTTGCTTATGTGGAGAGTACAAAAATTTCTATGCTTGTAGATCATTAAAGGAATGCTTTATGTGAAAGTTATATTGTTGAATTCATTCATGATGCTACTGAAAATTATTATGAGAGAGGGACATATGCTTTTATATATCCAAATAATATCAAGTTTTCTCTCTATGTATTGAAAATCTAAGCACCCGTTTGATGTTCGAACACGTTCGGACGTACGAGGAAGAAATGAGCTTTGGCCTCGGAGACGACCTTTATCATTTGTTTGATTCATTTGTAAGCATTGTAGCCCGTAGCAACGCACTGACGTTCTACTAGACATTTTTTATGAATTATTTTAACATTGTTTTACATTGTATAAAATTTTAAAAAATGTCACAAACATTTTTATCAAACGTGTTAACAATTTTGAAGTATCACAAACGTCTTTGAATGCTATCAACATTATTTTATACTATATCACTTTTTTTAAATGTGCGATGAACATTTTTGATCTTTTTTAGAAAATATGGTTCGATTTCATAAAGATACATAAAAGTAATAAAACAGAAAAAGAAAAAAAAATACTGTGATAGGAAGCCAGCGCTCCTCCGGTGATGGGCCAGGCCATGTAGGGTGGTAGATTCTTTCGTCTCGCATACAGTGAGACAAAGATGCGCCCACAATGCACTGTACAAGAGGCAACAATCCAATGGATATTGAGCTATCCAATTTCGAGGTCCAAAAATGTATCCAATTTTGACGTTTTATTGACGTTCATCTCCAATTAAGCCCGGTCCAACTGTATCCAACCTTACTCAACTAACAAAATCCACTCCCGGTCCTCAAAAAAAAAGAGAGGAAAAATCTACTCCCAGGTATATCTGGCCATGGGCAGCCCGACCCGACCCGGCCCGGCATGATAGTGCTCACAGGCCGGGCCTCAGCCTTGAATTTGAGCCTGAAGCCCGAGTCGGGCCCAGGCCCTCCATATTTATGATTTAATGAAAAGGCCCAGCCCGAGGCCTGATGGGCTTTTACACTAACGGGCTAGGCTTGGGCCTGATTTCTAGGCCCGACGCCCAGCCTGGGCCTGGGTTTTCTACATCGGGTTTGGTTAGGCCCGGCCCGAGGGATGGCCAGGTATACTCCTAGGCATGGAATTTCTGTTCACAGGTGTAGATGCAACTGGATGAACAATAAAATATAAAAAGGTACACCCTCAGTCCGGAATTAATTGTCCCATAAATGGATGTATCTATACACATTTTTAGTTCTAGATACATATATTTGTATCCATGTCCGCGACAAGTAATTAGGGACGAAGGGAGTAGTAAACAAAATAAAAAATATTTTCTATAAACATGGATGAATGTTACAAAGTGTGTATGACATTCGTGGAAGCCTTATCAAAAAAAAATTAAGCCTCCAAAAATACTTTTTTTAAAAGCAGTTTGGAGCACTGATTATTTTCCCACACATTCATGAATGCCATACTATCACAAAATTATACGCAGGCAGAAAACAAAGCAATGTTTGTTGCAAAAAATTCGAAATATTATGATTTTGTTTTCCTATTTTTTTTGTTCATTGCAGGTGTATATGAGCTCGGGGACTAGAACGACACTTTGGCTCCCACATTTACTTTTGACACTTCCACATGAATTTTGCTTCTATAGCTTTATTTCCAATGTAATATACAAATATTCACAGGGTGATCACATAGTTTGCATAAAACATGTCACGTCAATCAATTATTAGTTACATATACTTGAGTTGATTGACTCCTAATGGCCCTATCTACCAACCTGGCTTTCCATACGTTTGCATCTGAACTTCAGATGGCAGAGTGCCTGAATTTCAGCATCTTTCGAATTCGACCGAGCGGCCCTCTGCATCCAGGTAACTTACTGGATCATCGCATGTGCAGCAGGAGCAGCTCTGGCTTTTCGACCAGGCTTTTCCACTCGTTGCAAAACCTTGCAACTGTGGCACCGTCGACGACTCTATGGTCGGCTCCAACGGTCACCTGCATGGCATACAACAGGATGTCCGAGTAAGTGCAAGTGCAAAGCAATGTAAGCCCAGCGCTAGGTATGTATGTACGGCAATGATCTTACATTGATTATCGAGGACGGGTAAACGTTTTCTTCATCATCAAAGCGAGGGAGCTTCTGAATGCGGCCGAGCGCAATGATCGCAACTTCAGGCAGGTTGAGAACAGGAGAGCCAAACTTGCCACCGATGGTGCCTATGTTGCTCAGTGTTATGGTTCCACCAGTGATATCGTTGGTGCTTAGTCTGTTTTGCAGTGCCATCTCATGTAATCTTGACAATTCCTTTGTGATCTGGTGTAATCATGGAAAAAACATTGGGCAGGCAAGCCACAAAAGGAACTATGTCCAAATGAAGATGTGATTGAATGGACTACAGGTTTACATGAGTAATACAAGTTATTTCCCGCAAAAAAAATGAACTACAGGTTTATAGTCAATCGTTTATGGAAATATTCAGGAGCCTAACTGCAAATCTTTCTGATATTTGTCTAGGTTGTCATCTGAATACTTTATTACTTTTTAGCATACAAATTTATCATGAATTAAGGGAGAAAAGAATTGCTGCTGACCTCCAATATGGAAAGTGACTGGACTTTCTTGATGCTTGGCACCACTAATCCCTGTTCTGTAGCCATAGCTACTCCGATGTTATGGAATCCTAATACACAAATAACAAACCAATGTCATGATACCTTCAGCACAAAAGGTAGTTTGTAGAGAAATAATCACATAAATGTCTTTATATGGCGCACTTTGGAAGAAGAAAAAATCTAACAGTATTATTTAGAAATCACGTTTCCTATCTTATTGAAAACTTCTTTTTGTGGAGATTTTTTTTTGCTTATTGCAAATTAGCAAAACAAATAAAACGAAATCTAGCCTACAAGACACGGTAATTGGAGACAATCCAGACCAACAGAAGCGGTGCATTTTAAATTTTTTTGTTAGAGGTTGGTTGATAAGGAGAGCTACACGGTTTGACAGGTGGAATTTCCCGGTTTACTTGTAGGCACGCACAAAAAGCGCCAAGGATACGATATATCCTCTGCTTCCAAACTCCTACCCCTGAGTGACCGCTCTGAATTGTTTTAAGATCATTTTCCAGGATGATGACGACAGGAGTGGGAACTCAGCGATTGCATACCTTTGAGAGTAACTTCATTTGTTTCTTCAATGAAAGAGCTGTTTAACAATGGATATTTACTCAGTGCCACAGAAAGAGATTTTATGAGGAATGGAAGGAAGGTGTGCTTCACATCATGATCTTTATTCTCCTTCTGAAATGATGCCTTAAGTTGTACAAGAGCATCACAGTTTATTTCCTCCAGATAATGAAAATGTGGTACTTTTGCAGCCAGGCTCATTGATTTCACCATTGCTCTCTGGTATCCCCTGAAGAAAGACATGTGCCCATAATGGACTGCAGTGGTTATGTATATGGCCAACCATATCAAAGTAGGTTATCAAGAAATGTTGTAATACCTGAGAGGAATTCTCTTATCTTCATAAAAATGTGAATCAAGTAGTGATTTTCCTCCCTCCGGTAACTCAACTTGACCAACATTCTCTTCCAAAGCTGACGGCGGCTCCTGGAGAAGACCCTTGCTAGCAGCGTAATTCAGAACATCCTCTTTCAACACTCTACCATCTCTTCCTGTACCCTTAATATCATCGATGTTGAGCCCATACTGCTTCACTAGATGCCTGACGGCTGGCGTGGAGAGAGACCCACGAGGAGCATTGCCTTCACTTAAAGGACTTGCAGAAGTATCCACTCCAAGTGGAATGTCAGGGGATGAAGCTAGGCTATCATGAGGTACAACTTGACTGCCGTTGACAATCATCTTAAGTAAAGTTTCGCCAACCTAAGAAGCACACATTGATTTCAGAAAATGAAGGAGACAGTCAAATATATCTATTCAGGCTGAAAGGATTCCCAGAGGAATAATAATGTTAGCATTCCAAGGTCTAATTAAAAAAAAAGGAATACCAGCAACAACAAGAAAAGGGGACATTTATAACTAGTAATCATCCAAAGCTACCTTTACTATGTCACCGGGGGCAAACTGAATCTCATGTACTGTTCCCTTGAAACGGCTTGTAATTTCTATGGTCGCTTTGTCGCTCTGTACCTCACAGAGCTGCTGGAATTCATCTACGTGGTCGCCCTGCCAAATGAGCAAGTCAAAGAACAACCCCAAATTGAGATGAAAATAAATACATAAACACAAAACAGACAAGATTGAGTTCGAATCGAGCAGCACATTCTTCAGATTATAGGCAGGAGCAATATCTTATACTAGTTCAGAATTTCAGATTATAGGCAAAGCAAACGGCATCCCAATCGGGCCACCAACAAGCAATCGAACCTCATCATGCTCAAATTGCTAGTGTGCATCGCAACTGACAGCAGAATTGCCCCAAAACATTTCCCGAAGCAGAGTTCGAAGTGGAAGCAGGCAGTGACAAAGGAAGGGGGCGGCGTAGATGAGGCTCACCTCGCTGACGAACCAGCGCAGCAGCTCGCACTCGGCGATCCCCTCCCCCGTCTGCGCCAGGGGCACCTCCACCAGCTCGGCGGAGGGCTCCCTCGCCGCGGAGGCGGAGGCGTCGCTCGCGAGCCACCTGCTCCCCCCGCGCACCGCAGCGGCGTGGAGCAGCCGCGCGGGCGAGGAGGCTGCGGCGGCTGCGAAGCGGGGCGGGGAGAGGGGGAGGAGGAGGCGGCGCAGCGGCGGCGTGGCCGCGGCGGGTCCCGCCGGCGGACGCGGACGCGGCGCCGCGGGCCGCGGGGCGGCGGGGATGGTGGGGCAGCGACGGGAGCGGGAGGCGAGCCGCCTCCAGGCCATGTGTCTGCGGGAGGAGGGCTACCGGCGGGCTGAGTGCGGAGATGGAAGTGGTGCTGCTGCTGCGTGGGGGCTTGCGACCATTGATGGAATGGATGGATACTTGGAGAGTAGCAAGCGAGCGGAGGAGGAAGAGGAGTGCGGGGCAGTGCAACTGCCAGTGCCAGCTCCGTCTGTCTGCTACATGAGCGCTGAGCTGTTGATCTCATCTTCACGACAAAGTGATACGGGACTGGTGTGGGGGTGGCAGCTGGTTTGGCTCGGGGTTTGGTATGGAGATCTTCGTCAAGATTCAAGAGAGAGGAAGCCTACCTCAAAGGAAGTGGTGATTGCCTCGCTGCCGGCACGCAGGTCAAGGATGATCGCACCCTTGCTGGCTACAATATCCACAAGGAATCCATACTTTCACAGTGCCCGTGGCAACATGGTGGCATGCATGTCTTTGTCAAGACTCTCACTGACAAGACACATCACACTTGAGGAAGAGTCCTCTGGCACCACTAACAATGTCAATGCCAAGATTACCCTAGAAGAGTTCTGCCCCCCGGCGACAAGTCCCTCCTCCGCTATCGCCATGCCATCGGCTTCCGCACCGTGAACGACCAGTCAGAGGCTGTCAGGCGCAGGGCTACAGCGGCGTGGCTAAGTACAGGTATCCTACGGTCTACGATGGTGCATGGCGAGTTGTCAAGCAGAGTACACGCCTCCAGAGGGTTAGGTGGCACCCAAGATGATTCACCACCCCCTTTTACCATGCGGGGGACACTTCATCTGCAACGTGTCGCGGTAAAAGTGTTGTGTCAGTAAAAGTCTGCTACGTTATGACAAGACATGCGTTCAACCCGGGCAACGGAATATGAAGATACATGCCCCTGCATTTAATGTGATAGGTATTCCACTGTACATATACTGTACCCGCTACCTTGTAGCCACTATAGTGACCCCTTGTGACTACAAAAGAAGGCCCACGCTACATAGATAGGGGTTTGACTCCCTCAGAGTTTATTTCCGTACGCACGAGTGCACTTTCCCTGGCCCGGCAAACCCCAACAAGGAAAGTTCATCATTGTACATCCAGTTCATCACTTTCAATTAATAAAAGCTAGCAGTACGTAGGGTATTACACTTCCCAGCGGCTTGAACTTGGTTAAAAAACCACCATGTTGTAGATAGAGGGTTTGAGCGTGTTAGTGCCCCAACACAGAACCAAAAGTTGCGGGTAGTAGCTCCACAGCACCCCCAGCAGGCACGGAACCGAGGCGGTGGAGACCAGTAGGGCGGTCGTTTGAGGCGCCTGGTCCTGAAGGACCTTTTGGCGCTTCTCCCGTCCTGTCTCCTCAGGCGGATCCTGCCCAGCCGCACCCGAGGTGGACGTGGCATGTGTCATTGTCATCGTTGAGGTCGACCGTGATCGCAGGGCCCTTGGCACACATGACACGTGTGGTGGTCCTGGTGGTGTCCTCGGATCAAAGCCAAATCTGCCCTTTGGGTTGGGGGTTCTCGGGTTGTAGAGTCGGGAAGCTGATGTTGGCCTCCCAAGTGTGCCATGGCTGCGACAACAAGCAGACTATCAAGACATATAACCAAAACTGATCATCAACTAGAAGTATATATAGGGCATGTGTTTACCTCCACTATTAGCACTATGGTAGAGAATCCACCGTCAGTGGCGCCGTTGAGGAAATTGATTCCCTTAACCTTAAACATGAGCGAGAGCATTTCCCCAATGTACTTGCCCTCATAGAAGCCACCTCAGATGGCCCGAGTAGAGTCGTCCACCCCGTTGTACTCCCACATCGGGTGCACCCCGGCTTGGAATGACTAGATTCCTTGGCTAAGGGCAACATGCATGACCTGCTCGAGTGCCAATCCCTCGTCTACCAGCTTCGAGGTCTTCTGGCACGACTTCTTGACCACGTTGAACTCATCCGAGATGCACTACGGCTTCTAGGAGTAGCGCCTGGTCAGGGGAGTCAGAGTGAAGGGCATAAAGATGCCGCCCCAAGGAAGATATTCTAATATTACATTTGAGATGTAAAGCCACTTGTCGGTGTCAAAACCGGCGGATCTCGGGTAGGGGGTCCTGAACTGTGCGTCTAGGCCGGATGGTAACAGGAGGCAGGGGACACGAAGTTTTACCCAGGTTCGGGCCCTCTTGATGGAGGTAAAACCCTACGTCCTGCTTGATTAATATTGATGATATGGGTAGTACAAGAGTAGATCTACCACGAGATCAGAGAGGCTAAACCCTAGAAGCTAGCCTATGGTATGATTGTATGTTGTGATTGTTGTCCTACGGACTAAAACCCTTCGGTTTATATAGACACCGGAGAGGGTTAGGGTTACACAAGGTCGGTTAAAAAGGAGGAGATATCCATATACGTATTGCCTACCTTGCCTTCCACGCCAAGTAGAGTCCCATCCGGACATGAGACGAAGTCTTCAATCTTGTATCTTCATAGTCTAACAGTCCGGCTAATGGAGATAGTCCGGCTGTCCGGAGACCCCCTAATACAGGACTCCCTCACCACTCCTCTTGCATGTTCTCGTCGGTATCCATGAAGTCCCAGTCAAGTACTTGGAGCCGGCCACCTTGTTGATGTTGGCTCCGCCACACTCACACTTCTTGTTTGCGTTGATCTGCAGCTTGACACAAAAAGAACTTGTGCCACAAACCAAGATGCGTCTGGTAACACAAGAAGGCTTTCAGAAAGTGTGACAAAGCACACGATGTGAATGATGGAATTTGGGAAAGGTGGTGGAGTTGAAGTTAGTAGAAGTGGAGAGGACCTTGAAGAAGGGATGACTCGAAAACCAGAGCCCACGGATGAAGAACCAGACAAAACTGTTGGGGAACGTAGTAATTTCAAAAAAAATTCCTAAGCACACGCAAGATCATGGTGATGCATAGCAACGAGAGGGGAGAGTGTGTCCATGTACCCTCGTAGACCGAAAGCGGAAGCGTTAGCACAACACGGTTGATGTAGTCATACGTCTTTACGATCCGACCGATCCAAGTACCGAACGTACGACACCTCCGAGTTCAGCACACGTCCAGCTCGATGACGTCCCACGAATTCCGATCCAGCAAAGCTTCGAGGGAGAGTTCCGTCAGCACAACGGCGTGATGACGGTGATGATGATGCTACCGACGCAGGGCTTCACCTAAGCACCGCTACGATATGATCGAGGTGGACTATGGTGGAGGGGTGCACCGCACACGGCTGGGAGAGATCAACAGATCAACTTGTGTGTCTAGAGGTGCCCCCTGCCCCCGTATATAAAGGAGGGACGGAGAGGCCGTCCCTAGAGGGAGCGCGCCATGTGTGGGGAGTCCTACTAGGACTCCCAAGTCCTAGTAGGATTCCCCTTTCCTTTCCAGAGTAGGAGAGAAGGAAAGAGGGGGAGAGGGAAAAGGAAAAGGGGGCTGCACCCCTTGTCCAATTCGGACAAGAGGGGGGGCGCGCCTCTTTCCTTTTGGCCTTTCTCCTCTATTCCCGTATGGCCCAATAAGGCCCAATACTTCTCCCGGTGAATTCCCGTAACTCCCCGGTACTCCGAAAATACCCGAATCACTCGGAACCTTTCCGATGTCCGAATATAGTCGTCCAATATATCGATATTTATGTCTCGACCATTTCAAGACTCCTCGTCACGTCTCGACCATTTTGTGATCACGAACACGACAAGGAGTCTCAAAATGGTCGAGACATGAAGATTGATATATTGGAAGCCTATGTTTGGATATCGGAAGTGTTCCGGGTGAAATCGGGATTTTACCGGAGTACCGGGAGGTTACCGGAACCCCCCGGGGACTTAATGGGCCTTAGTGGGCCTTGGTGGAAGAGAGGAGAGGCGTCCAGGGCAAGGGCCATGCCCCCTCCCCCTAGTCCGAATAGGACAAGGAGAGGGGGCGGCGCCCCCCTTCCTTCTTCTCCTCCACCTCTTTCCCCTCTCTCTCCTAGTCCAACAAGAAAAGGGAGGAGTCCTACTCCTAGTAGGTGTAGGAATCCTCCTGGTGCGCCCCTCTCTAGACCAGCCGCACCCCCTGCTCCTTTATATACGAGGGCAGGGGGCACCCCAGAGACAACAATTGATCGTTTGATCTTTTAGCCGTGTGCGGTGCCCCCTCCACCATAGTCCACCTCGATAATACTGTAGCGGTGCTTAGGGAAGCCCTGCGTCGGTAGAACATCATCATCGTCACCACGCCGTCGTGCTGACGAAACTCTCCCTCAACACTCGGCTGGATCGGAGTTCGAGGGACATCATCGGGCTGAACGTGTGCTGAACTCGGAGGTGCCGTGCGTTTGGTACTTGATCGGTCGGATCGTGAAGACGTACGACTACATCAACCGCGTTGTGCTAACGCTTCCGCTTTCGGTCTACGAGGGTACGTGGACAACACTCTCCCGTCTCGTTGCTGTGCATCACCATGATCTTGCGTGTGCGTAGGATTTTTTTTGAAATTACTACGTTCCCCAATAGTGGCATCCTAGCCAGGTTTTATGCGTTGATGTAATATGCATGAGTAGAACACAAGTGAGTTGTGGGCGATATAAGTCATACTGCTTACCAGCATGTCACACTTTGGTTCAACGCTATTGTTGGATGAAGCGGCCCAGACCGACATTACACGTACGCTTACACAAGACTAGTTTTACCGTCGTGCTATGCACACAGGTGACTAGCGGGTGTCAGTTTCTCCAACTTTAGTTGAACCGAGTGTGGCTACGCCCGGTCCTTGAGAAGGTTAAAACAGCACTAACTTGAAAAACTATCGTTGTGGTTTTGATGCGTAGGTAAGAATGGTTCTTGCTCAGCCCGTAGCAGCCACGTAAAACTTGCAACAACAAAGTAGAGGACGTCTAACTTGTTTTTGCAGGGCATGTTGTGATGTGATATGGTCAAGACGTGATGAGATATAAGTTGTTGTATAAGATGATCATGTTTTGTTGAAGTTATCGGCAACTGGCAGAAGCCTTATGGTTGTCTCTTTATTG